GAGAAGTCATTCTGCCTTATATATGAGATAACTTGAATTTTATGCTAATGAAAACAGCCTGTTTGTGGCCCATCAAACATGCAATAATCATTAAAGAAAAGGGTGCATCAACCAGAAGTAAAGAATGTCCATGTTAAAATAAAGATTAAATGACTCCCTTTCTGGGATGCCAGTGCTGGTACTCCTTCAATAATGAGACTCCCTTCCAAGCTGCCAAGGCCATACTGACTTGCTATGTATGTGTTGATCTGTTTTTTGAAGACTTGAAGGACTGTATCCCTGACTTGCTTAATGTTCTTTGTTCTGACAAGATATAAGACTGTATTGAAAAATATGTTTCTTTGGAGCAATTCCTCAGAGTTACCTGAGAGACTGTCTTCTGGTCTATAATTTTCAGGTAGGCTCAAATAAAACTATTTTCTATTCCTATTATAGATTATTTATTGATTATTTTCATCAACAGAAGTAGTCACAGGGAAAGTAAATAGAAAGACATAGTTATCCTTGTGCAGCTCCTTGGCCTCACTGTGGTTCTATGAAACTCCCCGGAAAAGAGCTTATACATTCATCAGGGGCCCCAATGTTTGCAATTGTCATGCAGAAGATACCTCCTGATCTCCTTATCTGGAGGCCAACAAGGATTACAGTTATAGCCCCACAGAACAGTATATATCTGCAAACTCTAAAAGATACTATCTGGGGGTCTGACATCCAATCAGCTGAAAACTCAGTGCTAAATAAGATTTTTTTCCCCTTGGTACATAGACAGGCCTCAGAACACCCTTAACAACAGGAATTCATCAAGAATAAATCAGTCAGCACCCTGCACAGAGCTGGGGTGGGTAAGCATACTGAGCCTTACACTCCCTACACAGTAGCCAGCCCACAACTGTACATGTGAGCACCTTGAGTTCTACCTATCTCATTCAGAGATAGAGCCATAATCAGGACTGACAAGTGGCTTGATTCCTACCCTCTCTGCACAGTGGCCAAGTGGCAAATGGGCTAGGTGAGTGCTCTTAGCCCCATTCTCCCCGTGCAGCAGCCACAACCCTATCACAGCGAGTGAGCACATGCAGCTCACATGAGGGATGCTCATAGAATATCTGGCTCTGGTGACCGGGGGCGGTGGGGGGAATCATGCTTCTAGACCACACAGAAGAGTTCCTACACAAGAACACTGCAAGACTGAAGGAGATAGTTGTTTTGTTTGATACATACAAACACAGAGAGACAGGCAAAATGAGGAGGTGGAGGAATATATTCCAAACCAAAGAACAAAGCAAATTCTAAGAAAAAGATTTTAATAAAATGGGGATGAGCAACCTACCTGATAAAGAGTTGAAAGTAAAGATAGTCACCAGTCTTGGGAGTAAAATAGATGAACACAGCAAAAACTTTAACATATATAGAAAATATAAGAAAGCACCAAAGAAGTTATAAGTAAACTTAAAAATACAGTAGGGGGATTCAACTGCAGAATAGTAGAAATAGAGGCATTAATCAGTAAGCTGAAAGACAAAGGAATGGAAAACACCCAGAGAGCAGCAAATTTTTTTTAAGCTGTCAGAATAGTTTATTTTTTAATTTTTTTAGCAGCAAATTTTTTTAAGCTGTCAGAATAGTTTATTTTTTAATTTTTTTAACTGATATATTTTGAAGATGAGTCAACCTGAAAAATTTTTGCATTGTTTTACATTTGTAATAATATAAAGTCTCATAGCTGCCTTTAAAGTCTACATTCTGTTTCTTAAAAAGTGACAACATATTCATTTGATAATACATTCCCATAAAAAGCAATTGATAAAGCTTCTGCTATTGTAAACGATTCTTTACCTAACATTTTCTATATTTAGAATAATTGCAGATACTTACTAATACATCTTATGGATGTATTTAGTGTTTTCTTTTTCTTTTTCTTTTATTTTTTAACATTTTTTATTGATTTATAATCATTTTACAATGTTATGTCAAATTCCAGTGTTCAGCACAGTTTTCAGTCATTCATGGACATATACACACTCATTGTCGCATTTTTTTCTCTGTGAGCAAATTTTTTTCAAAAAGAACTAAAAGAAGTGAGGATACCTTAAAGGACTTCTGGGACAACATGAATTGGAATAACATTCATATTATAGGATCCCAAGAGGAGCATGGAAAGAGAAAGGGGTAGAAAAATTATTGAAGAAATAATGGCTGAAAACTTTCCTAATCAGGGGAAAGAGACACCAAGGTTCAGGAAGCCCAGAAAATTACAATAAGATGAACCCAAAGAGAAACATGCCAAGATACATTATAATTAAAATGGCAAAAGTTAAGAATGAAGAAAAAGTCTTAAAAGCAGCAAGAGAAAAATAACATTATATACAAGAAAAAACTCATCAGGCTACCAGAAGTTTTTTCACCAGAAACTTTACAGGACATAAAGGCATGGCATGACATATTGAAAATGATGGAAGAAAAAAAAATCAGCCAACAGAAAATCCTCTGGCTGTCAAAGTTTTTATTCAGAACTGAAAAAAATTGAGTTTTATAGATAAGCAAAAGCTAAAGGAGTTTATTACCACCAAACTGGCCTTAGAGAAAGTGTTACAGACTTCTCTAAGCTCAAAATAAAAACACTAATCAATAATGAGAAAACATTCAAAAGTAAATATTTCATCAGAAAAGATAAATAAACAATAAAGGTAGTGGATCAATCACTTATAAAGCAAGTGCAAAATGTAAGAGACAAAATTAGTAAATTATTAAAACTATAATCATTAGTTACAAAATTAGTCAAGAGTTACAAAAATACAAAATGTATCATCAAAAATATAAAATGTGTGTGGGAGGAATAAAAATATAAAGCTTTAGGATGTTCTCAAAATTAAAGTACTAAAAGTTTAAAAGAGACTTATATACATAGGATGGTATATGTAAACGTCATAGTAACCACAAACTAAAAACATAGTACATACAAAAAAAAAGAAAGAAAGAAATCTAAACATAAGACCAAAGAAAAAATTAAAACACACGGAAAGGGAGAAAGAGATGAAAATCAGAGAGAAGTTACAAAAGTAGCCAGGAAACAACAAAATGACAATAAGTATATATCTATCAATAATTACTTTAAATGTAAATGAACTAAACTCTTCTATCAAAAGACATAGGTGGGTGAATGAATATTAAAAAAAAATCCTTCTATGTGCTGCCTGAAAGAGACTCCCTTTAATTCTAAAGATGCTCACAGACTGAAAGTTAAGGGATGGAAAAAGTTATACCATGCAAATGGAAATAAAAAAAAAGTTGGGGTAGCAATAATTACACCAGACAAAAATAGATTTTAAACAAAATTTCTGGTCAAGATGGCAGAGTGATAGAACAAGTGGCTCATCTTTCTTCATGACTACAATGAAACCACAAGTGAATGCTAAACAACCATCAAAAAAAAAAAACCTGGAACCTAGCAAAAAGATCTACTGCAACTGGAGACATAAAGAGGGAACCACAGCAGGACAGTAGGAGGGGCATGCTCATGATATAATTGGGCCCCACAGCCCCCAGTTGAGTGACCCACAAGCTAAGGAGTAGTTAAGTCATAGAGGCCCTCCCTCAGTAGTGAGATTTATAAGCCCCAAGTCAGGCTACCCAGACCAAGGTTCTGGCATTGGGAGGTGAAGGAGACCCCAGGATATCTGGTTATGAAGGCCAGAGGGGCTTGGCTCCAGGAGCTCCACGGGACTTGGGGAAATGGAGACATCATTTACCTGGGAAGCATACATGAAACCTAGCATGCACCAGGTCCAAGGGCAGAGGCAATGATTTCATAGGAACCTGGGCCAGGCCAGCCTTCTGGTTTTGGAGGGTCTCCTGGGGAGGTAAGGGACAGCTGTGGCTCACCCAGGAGACATAGAATCTGGTGGGAGACATTCTGGGAGTGTTCACCTACATGAGCTGTTCTGGAGGCTGACATCTTGATTGGATCATTAGCACCAAAACCTAGCCCCACCCAACAGCTTGTAGGGAAGACTCAGGCCAAACAATATACTGAGTGGGAACACAGCAGAATTATTTTTTTAAACATTTTTTATTGATTTATAGTCATTTTACAATGTTGTATCAAGTTCCAGTGTAGGGCACAATTTTTCAGTTATACATGAACATATATATATTCATTGTCACATTTTTTTCTATGTGGGCTACCATAAGATCTTGTATATATTTCCCTGTGCTATACAGTATAATCTTGTTTATTTGTTCTACAATTTTGAAATCCCAGTCTATCCCTTCCCACCTTCCACCCCCTTGGCAACCACAAGTTTGTATTCTATGTCTATGAGTCTATTTCTCTTTTGTATTTATGCTTATTTGTGTTTCTTTTTTTTTAGATTCCACATATGAGCGATCTCATATGGTATTTTTCTTTCTCTTTCTGGCTTACTTCACTTAGAATGACATTCTCCAGGAGCATCCATGTTGCAAATGGTGTTATGTTCTTGGTTTTTAAGGCTGAGTAGTATTCCATTGTATAAATATACCACTTCTTCTTTATCCAGTCATCCGTTGATGGACATTTAGGCTGTCTCCATGTCTTGGCTATTGTAAATAGTGCTGCTATGAACATTGGGGTGCAGGTGTCAACTTGAAGTAGAGTTCCTTCTGGATATGTGCCCAGGAGCGGGATTCCTGGGTCAAATGGTAAGTCTATTCCTAGTCTTTTGAGGAATCTCCATACTGTTTTCCACAGTGGCTGCACCAAACTGCATTCCCACCAGCAGTGTAAGAGGGTTCCTCTTTCTCCACAGCCTCTCCAGCATTTGTCATTTGTGGACTTTTGAATGATGGCCATTCTGACTGGTGTGAGGTGATACCTCATTGTAGTTTTTATTTGCATTTCTCTGATAATCAGCGATATTGAGCATTTTTTGATGTGCCTATTGATCATTTGTATGTCTTCCTAGGAGAATTGCTTGTTTACGTCTTTTTTTTTTGCAATAACATCTGAACTTTTGTTGGCCTCTCACTTCCCAAAGGGCATCAATTCTGCCTTCTTAATACTTCAGAACTTCAGAACTGCCATCCACAAGCCTGAGGGTGGTGGTCTTCTGGATGGTTTGCCTGGAATTGCTGCTGTCCACGGCGTCACTAAGATTGAAGTCCTCCCCATCTTTCAGCAGGCGGTGGTAGGTGTTGATCTCAGCCTCCAGCTTGACCTTGATGTTCAGCAGGGCCTCGTACTCCTGGTTCTGGCATTGCCTCTCTGCCCGGGTTGGGGCCAGCTCCGACTCCAGATACAGTAGAAACCCGCTGAGCTGCTCCATCTGAATGGCGTAGCGGTCCTCCACCTCCTTCAGGCTATTCTCCAAGCTGGCCTTTAGGTTTCTCATAGAGTCCAGGTCAATCTCTAGGGACTGCACATTCCGTCTCAGCTCCTTGAGGGTCATCTCAGCAGCTCCTATCTCAGCGGTCTGTGAGGTGACCACTGTGGTGCTCTCCTCAATCTGATGAGACCAGTACTTGTCCAGCTCCTCTTGGTTCTTCCGAGCTAGCTCATCATACTGAGCCCAGATGTCTGCCATGATCTTGCTCAGGTCCTGAGACTTGGGGGTATCCAACTCCACAGTCAGCCCAGAACTGGCAATCTGGTTTTGTAGACCCTTTACTTCCTCCTCATGATTCTTCTTCATAAAGAGCAGCTCCTCTTTGAGAGCCTCAATCTCTGTCTCCAGCTGCAGGTGAGTGACATTGGTGTCATCAATGACCTTGTGGAGTCCATGGATGTCACTCTCCACAGACTGGCACATAGCGAGCTCCATCTCATACTTGACTCTGAAGTTATCAGCAGTGAGACGGACATTGTCCACAGAATTTGCAAAGACCTTAGCCCTCAGGTCCTCAATGGTCTTCAAGTAATGCCTCCAGTCTCGGACCTGGGGTCCTTTCTTCTCCAGGTGTTTCCGAATTTTGATCTCCAGTCTCCGATTGTCAGCCTACAGGCTCCTCACCTTCTCTAGATAGGAGGTCAGGCAGTCATTTGGTCTTGCATGGTCTCCTTCTCTCCCTGGATGCCCCCTACGCCCACCACACACCCGACCATCCGCGTGCCCAGGTTCACGGAACCCCAGTCGCCCCGTACGCTGGTGGAGCGGGACACAGAGATCCGATCTCAGCCCCCGTCGCCTACAGAGACACTGGCCATGCTGCTGACTGGTCATGGTGCGTAGCACGACTACATGGAACCAGTGGACCGGTAGTTGAAGAAGCTGGACTGGGTGCTGAAGCTCATGGTGTCTGTTTCACGAGGAAAGCGGGAGGCCAGGACTCAGATGCTGGGCTGTGGGCTTGTTTACGTCTTTTGCCCATTTTTCGATTGGGTTGTTTGGTTGTTTCTTATTAAGTCATATGAGCTGCTTATATATTCCAGAGATCAAGCCTTTGTCGGTTTCATTTGCAAAGATTTTCTCCCATTCCGTAGATTGTCGTTTTGTTTTACTTCTGGTTTCCTTTGCTGTGCAGAAGCTTGTAAGTTTCATTAGGTCCCATTTGTTTATTTTTG